CACTTGGGTAACTGTAAATTCCTAACTAATCTCGACTTTTAGATTTGGTAACATTAATTCTTTATAGATTTATAGACAATTTAAAAGTTTTTAATTATTTTATCTATTTTTATTTAAATTTCGTAGGAAATTTGAATATTTAATGAATAAATTTATTTTTTTGAAAAGGAATAATAAAATCGGTGATGAAGGAGTATAAAATATAGCGTAAGAATTGAATAAATCCATCTAACTTACATAGTTATTTTTTTAATCAGAGTAAATTTTCATTTATTATTTTCTAAAAATAATTATTTTAAGGTTTTTAGGATGTTTATTAAAATATTTTTAATTTTTAAGTAATAATAATAAGTTTCTAAAATCTAGCCAAATAATCAATTGTAAAAATATAAAGTTATTGTAATTTGTTTTTATTGTTTAAAATAGATAATTAAAGTCACAACTTTTTATTTTTTTTAAAATAAATTTAAATTGAAAAGAAAATTGATTAGAGATGTAAAAACAGAAGACAAAAGATTAGCTTTGAAAATAAAAAGATTAGTTAAATTAATTGTAGATTGAATTAACTAACTTCAATTAAAAATTAAATATTAATTATTAATATAATAGTATGTATATATAACAAAAAAAATAGGATACAAAAGTTGTAAAATAATTTTTTTTTATCTTTTAATTTTGATTTTCTTAAAAACAATTATTGAAAATCATAATTTAATTATCACTAAAAGAAATAATAAAAAAAATTAATATTCTTTATTGAATAAAATATTTTATGCTCCTTTATCACCTATTTTATTTTCCCTTTTCAAACAAAATAAATAAAATTATTAATTAATTAATTACTTCAATCTAATCTCAAAAATAAAATTTAATTAAGTTTTTTAAATTATCAAAATCATAAAATTAAAATTACCTAAGCGAAAATTTTAAATTAATAAGTGACTTGCAGCTACTTAATACTTTTTCAAACGAATATGCTCCTTCATTTCCAATTTAAATATTACTTTTATTATAGAAAATAATATGCTTGTAAATAAAAAAAATTATCATCAAATAATTAAATAATTGATTAATTTAAAACTTTTTAAACACTAAAAATATAAAAGATGCTAAAATTTTTTTAAATTTTCAAAAAATGAAAATTCAAAATTACCAAAGCTCAAATTTTAGATTCATAAGTAGTTTACATCTACATAGTGCAATACAAATAGCAGATACTCCTTCATCTTCAATTTCATTTTAGCTTATAAAATATAAAAAAGCATTTATATCAACTTAAAAATTGTTAACGGAATAAATAGATAAAAATATTTATTAAATTGTACAATTCATTTATGTTTATACTTAAAAAAAATTAAAATTAATTACGAGAGGTTAATATCTAGATGGGTCAAAATTCTACAACAACTATCTAAAACCTTACTAATTGAAAATGCACCTTCTTTTCCAAAATAAATTTGCACTTTTAAAAATTTACA